GTTCACACAATATAACATGAGAATGATTTAATTTCTTGTGGAAACAAGACACTAAGTTCCCCTTATATAATTATCTACAACACAGTAATGAGAGAAAATCTTGTGGCCATGACTAAATATTTTTTTCCCCTGTCCACTCCCAGGCTTTGCAGATAAACACTAAAAATTTAAACCAATATACATGCATCTTTCATTTGTCATGGAGTATACTATGAAACGTATTCTTAAAGTTCTGACTACCTCCCCATAATGGATTTTCAGAGCAATTTTATTTTTGGTTGGATGAAATCTTTTGAGTGACCTATGAGATTAAGTTTTGTCGAGTCAGTATATTATTTTGATGTTAATTTTTTTAGTCTTTTATTATTTTTTTCATATAATACCTTAATATATGAAATCATTCTTGGTGCTATTAACTGTAAACTCTGGTTCTTATGTTTTTGTTAGCTTGTCTTTGGATAGAATACCTGCTATTTTTTAGAGTTTCTAGATAAAAGAGATAAGATAAAAAGCTCTAGTGAACAGGGGGTGCACCTTAGTAATCTTATTCTGGGAACTAAAGAGAGTTGTTACAGGGCTGAGCAAGTCTGTGTGGAATTCAAATACATGAACATGTGTTTGTTTGTGCAGGTTTCCCAGTGATACTTTTAATAAATTAATTTTAGGGTTATACATTTTGCCAACTTCTGTCCTTGTTAACCTATGAAATGAAAACTGTAGCATATGACATAAATTATTATTTGGCTGAATCATGTGCTCAGTTAGCAGTGTTTAGTTCCTTCCTGGTTTCAGTTTTCAACACAGAAAATATGGCTCTCTGTTTGTGGTTAATGTCCAAGAGTTGTTTTTTTTTTAAGTGGGAGTGTATTAGCTACAAGTACAGTGACATTTATTGTGAAAACCTTTTTTTAGAGTGTGGGTTTTGAGAGGATTCATAATGATTAGAAAGGACTTTGATTGATAAATAATGTTGTTAGGATAAAAATTTAACCATTACTGATAAAGCTAATTTCTACATCAAAAAGTGTTCTATTGGAAAGATTAGTGATACTCGAACCTGTTTGAGTAATTTTGTTTCATTCTTAGAACAGTAGAGTACATTATTGTTATTTTTAGGTGGATTAAATTGGAAGAGGTATTTTTCAGTATTCCGTAGCTGTTCTTATTAAATTTTAAGTTGTAGAAGAAAACCCTTTAGGAGTGAATAATTTGAAATATCTATATTTGTAATTGAATATATATATATATATATATATATATATATATATATATATATATA